AAGTAATAAGTCTCCTAGCTGCTCCCTGACTCAGGCAAATCAGCACACAATGAGCTAGAGGATGCAGAATCACGAATCATCTCTTTTCTCTGTTAATACTCAAACTCTGGACTTGTGGGCTTACACACATGCTTGCATACTTGGGTAATAAACAGCGATTCTGAAAAGTGACTCAAATGATTAACTGATCATCAAAATTGTGGGTGATCAATATTCCACTGAGAAACTCACTGTTTCAAGTGGTAATGTTGCCCTAGTTTGTCTTTGGGTCCCTATCCAAGATGATTAATTGTGGATTTTGTCACGGTGCTTCAATCGATAACTGATCTATTTTTTGTGGTGCTCTAATTGGATCATGTATCTAGCATCTACTGTATGTATTAAAATGGAACAGTTTTAATGCTTGTTCATGTACCTGATAAAGGTTGTTTTAACTTAAACATCATATTAAAAAAATATTAAATAAACCAGCAGTAAAATGAGAGAGTGTGGGGGAGTTTATCACTTATATAACAAAACTAGAATTACCACTTTGTGGTTGTATGCTTCTGCCAGCTAGTCAGTTTCACAGGAACGGGACAGTTGTGAGGTCACTGACCTTGACCTTTATGCACCAAAATCTAATCAGTTCATCCTTGAATCCATGTGGATGTTTGTGTCAGATTTGAAGAAATTCCCTCAAGGCGTTTCAGAGATATTGTATTCACAACAGTGGGACAGATTTGAGATGACAGTGACCTTTGACCACCAAAATGTAATCAGTTCATCTCTGTATCCAAGACAACCTGACAAAACATTATGCCCCCAGCTGCGAATATCTCCGGCATAATAACTTCTACTTTCCCTTCCATTCCTCTTTGTTTCACACATTCTTGCTGCAACCTTCCATCTCTTCATCTTTTGTACTGTTACCCTACAATCTATAGTTAAGAGGATACATGCATTATCATCTACCTGTGATTGATACAAGTGAGATGTTATTCCCTGGTGTGAAAACACAGACACTAAAGCAGCATTAGGCCTCCACAACCTTGAAAGGCATAGAGAGGACAGACAGATGAGAGAAGAGGTGAGGAGGTGTAATAATAAGCTTTTCAAACCAGTGGTAACCTTTTAGCAGTCACTTGTTAATTCCTCTGCCACGGGGTAGGGAGGAAGGAGTGAAAGGGGGAGCGGAGAGGGATTAGAGAGGAAAAGTACAGGGGGAAGAGAAGAGGGGATGCACAAAGATAGAGGTGCAGAGAAGGGGGAATGAAGGTAAAGACAAAAAGGAGAGAAGAGGGACAGCAACAGGTGATTCTTTTGCTCTAACACAGAGGCACACTCCTCTAATGTCTGTCAAGGTGTTATGGTAGCCCCCCTCACCAGGAGGGTGAGGGAGGACTGAGTTTTGGACTCAAGTTTGCAGACCCAGGTGCTAGGGGGAAAAACATGATGGTAGCAGGTAAATAAAGTGAACACAAAGTATCAAAAGAACATAACATGGGAAAGTACGGTACTTGGATATGTAGTGTAGTGTAAATGAGCGTAGCGCATAGGTAGTGTGGTAGAGTCAAGCCAAAACGCACAGTGTCTGTCAGCGTAGCATTCTACCAACATGTACAGTCCGCGTTACTATGTAAATGTTCCGGCAAAACCGGAGCGTCTGCCAGAGGTTTATATAAGGAGACGAAGGTAATCATCGGGATGCACCCCAGCTGTGTGCAT